CCATTAATGCAAAAATTTCTGTTGACCCAAAAAGCCACCTACATTAACATGCCTTGCTGACTTTAAGGATATTCTTGGTGATATTTGGGCTGCTCAGGGGTAGTTTTCCTGTTTGTCAGTGATGCTGCTTATACTGGGGGGTTTCATGGAAGACATGCTGGTGTGTCTCACCCTTGTGTGTGGCAGAGCACACAGAGATATCATCTCAATGTCCTGTGCTGCATCTGAGTGCCTGCACATGGAAGACATGTGAAAACTCTGCTTTGGAGGCATTCCAACCTACATTAAAAGACTTTGATTTAGACCCTAAAGTGAGCAGAGGAGCAGTTTGTATTGGGAGGTTCTTTTAGGAATTTTTGAGTTCTAGGGGTCTCCAGGACCAGAGTCTGTTAGTAATCACTGCTCTACCAGAATGTGGTGGAAGCTGACACTTGCAAATAATTCCCCATGTGGGATAAAGCTAGGTAAATTCTGAACAGTATGGAAGAATATAATAAACCACACATATGTTTTCATTGTAAATCTATTGTAAACAGACATCTCTGTTTCTCTCTCTCTCTCTCTCTCTCTCTCTCTCTCTAACACACACACACACACACACACACAGCCAGAATATAGAAAGGATTGCAATATAGTCCTGGTTAGAGGACATTGCTTTTTATAGATATTAAACTGCCACCTTGCATCTAATTCTGTTGAACAGGTTTAGGATTTGATGATAATCAGTAAGGCATAGTTTTGTGTGTATGCATGTTGTGCTTAGCCTCAATTTCATAGGTTGTCTTTGGGTGTGTATGTAGTAAAATTTAACATTTTATTAGAAGCAACTAACACATTAAAATTATTTTTATAAGTCATATAATGTATTTGGTATTATGTTAAAAACTAAATTCTCACTTTCTGACAAGAGTAGCTATTTCTAATAGTCAAAATAAACATTCTCTTTAAATTTTACACACCAACTCAGTCCATACTCACCTCATTTTCTCTAAAGACTAAAATCTCCCTGATATTCCAGTTGGCAGATGGTCTGTTTCTGAACAAAAGGATACATGTATTTGAAGAATTCTGCAGCCACCTGAGAAATAAGGCTTTGCCTATCATTTTATTAATGCTTGCCAAATAATTAAGTGTGAAAAGATGAAGAGCAAAGAATAGAACTTCACCGTTAAAGAACTATTAGTCACTTGGACTAGACCAGTGGTCTCCAACTATTCTGGTACCAGGGACCAGTTTTGTAGAAAATAATTTTTCCACGGATTGGGATTGAGGGAGTAGTTTCAGGATGATTTGAGCACATTCCATTGAAGCTCAATTTCCTGCTGTGTGACCCAGTTCCTAACAGACCCGGACTGGTACTGGTCCACGACTCAGAGGTTGGGAACCCCTGGACTAGACGAATGTGATTTGGTGGATAGAGGAAAGAAGAAAACTAACACTGTCTATTGCCTGTGTATAAACTCTGTCACTGGGCATGATCAGCCCAGCAACCCTAGCTGGGATTTGGGTTCCTGGCTTCCAGAATTGAGGGTTTCCCTGGCCAGATTCAAAGTGTTGGAGCCAAAATGGGAAATACAATTAAGGGATAAAATCAAAGCCAAACCCGAAGGCCATGGTACAGTCAGTGAAATCAAGGTGTAAATCTAGATGAAGAGTTGGAGAGACCAAAGCCAAGTTTAAAGCAACCAAGGAGCTGGACAAGCTGGGTGAGGGGAAAAGGCAGGAGACAGAGCCCTGAGACATGTCCTCAGCTGCCAGGCAGAACCACCAGTGCTTTTATAAGGTCTCAGCTTTGGACAAGGACAGAGGCATTAAGGGCCCCAAGATACAGGGATGAATGTGTGGGTTGTTCTGTTTTCTTTGAGAGCCTTCTGTACCCATTTGCAAAAATTCCGCATATCCTTTAGGAGTCAGGGGTAAAAGTCATAAGCCTTAAAAATGTTGGGTATCCTCAGGAACCCCAGTTTTCCAAATAGGAAATGTAAAGTTGGGTGGGGATTTCAAATTATTGTTTCATTTTCTTCATCTCCAAAAGATTTTCTAGTTCACTGAGAACCTGCCTTCAATTGCATGGATATTATAATGTTTCTTTTCATTCCCCATAAAGATCTCCATATATAGCTTTTAAGAGCTGTCATAATTGTGATAGAAATGAAATTCTATACCCCACAGAGGACACATCTCAGGATTAGAGACAGCATTCCTATAATTGCAAGACAAATTTGGTGTTAGTCAATCTGTTAGGTTTCATTATAGGTATATTTTCTCATTCTATTATTTCATTTTCGTGAAAGGTCTGTTAGAAATTTCCATGTGTATAAATGCTTTAAAACATCTCACTATCCAAATTATTTTATGTGGAATTTACCAAGATAGTTTATCACTTCCTGAAGCATAACTTATTTGCAATATCTAGACACATGCTCTAAAAACAGGTCCCCATCCGTTCCATCCTTAATGGGTCTCTACCTGCACCTTCTTTCAACTACTTGAATAAAACACAAGGAACATTTCACATATATGAAAATATCCTCATTTACTGAATTTCTGGAATTGTACAGTTTGTTCTTTGGCCAAAACAACAGCAACAACAAAAACAAACCCTGTTAATTGCAAAGTTAACCCACTGATCCATTTAGGTTGTGGTTCCTTTCTAACATTCAACCTACAATCCACCCATTCCACACACTGTGCATGCTGGACAATGAAAGTCTCGATACTTTCAGTGCTTTCCACCTTGTTCTTTTTTCACATTCTTGGAAGAATGGAGTAAGAGATCTGTTCTTTAAACAACAAACCAGAGAGTCAGATCATGTCAGTTCTCAGCTTATAATCTTTCCCACTGAATTTAGAATGAAATGCACTCTCTTCACCATGGCCAGCAAGGCCCTGCCTTTCTGGTTCCTGCTGTCCTCTCTCTCCAGCTTCATCTTATACCACTCTCTTTCTTGCTTAATCTTTCTAAGCCTTTCAGCACCTCTACTATGTGGCAAGCTATGTCCTACCTCAGGATCTTTGCACTAGCTTGTTCCTCTACTTTTCTGGTTCTTTGCATCCTGAGGTCCTAAAAGCCCTCCCTGCCGTCCTTTTTTTTTAGTAATCTTCCTTCTCCTGCCCCATGAGTCTCTATCATAGCATCCTGCTTTTTTCCTTCATAGCATCTATCACAAACTGTAAAGTGTTTTTACTGATTCATTTGTTTTCTCATATAATATTTGTTTTTCCCACTGCAACATAAACTCCTGGAGGTCAGGGATTATATGCCTGTCTTGTTCTTTCAGAGTATCTCTAGAGTTAGCAGACCACCCAGCACATAGTAGGTACTGAGTAAATAGCTATCAAGTAAATGAATAAATGAAATGGCTTACAATGCTCCATGCTGCCTTACGTGTCAATCCCTGTGCTACGCCGAGCTCTGCAGTGTTCACCTTGCCCTGGGCAACAGGGAACCATATGTGGCAGCAATTTCCAGAGCTTATTGTGTTTCACTGTTGCTGGAACTCAAGATGACACTAGGTGGTACAGGGACAACCATCTTTTGAGTATATGTTTAATGTCCATTAAAGGAAAGGTAATTAGTGCTTCAAATCCAGAATTTCCTGCTGAATATTGCTAAGGCAAGGCTAAAGAATATATGTCTATTTTACAAAGTGAGTTGACTGAAAGAAAAAAAATTAAATACTAGCACAAGTAGTATATGGATATGGTAGATATTGCCAATGTGGCAAGCCTAGATGAACAGAAGATGCAGTAGAAGACAGGCAGGAGTCAAGTTCTGCGGAACTTGGGCTAAGGAGTTGTAACCGAGTATCAGGAAGCCTTTGAAAGTTTTCCATTGGGGAGGGACATGATTGCATTTAAGGATGATAAATCCGCAGCAGTGGGCATGATGAATGTAAGGGCTTGGTGGAAGCCAGGGAGTGATTGGAAGCAGAAAAGCTAAAATTAGGAAAATATTGTAAAAGTCCTAATAGGAGGTGACAGGGACTCAAACTTCTAGGTAGAAGAAACGTGCAAGAGACTCCGTCTTGCCTGGATTCATTTTCTCTACTTGTACACCCCACCCTTGCATCCCACCACCATGCACACACTCCTAACTTCACCTTCTTTCCACAGTTAGCTCATGCCCATGGGTACCTCACTACTCTCTGGGAGGCTTCCCACAAGGCTGCAGTATAGAGGCCAAGGACTGTGCCTTACTGTAGTCTTATTTTCAGTTTCTAATAGACTAAATGGCACATAGTAGTTGCTCAATGAGTACTTCTGAATAAATGAATCAAATCTGGCAGCAACTTACTATTCGAACTTTTAGTAATTTATTTTATGACCTTGGAATGGTTAATGCAGATTCCTTCACTTTTTGGCTTTAGTTTGGAGGCAGGAGAGTGTAAAGATTAAGAGGTTAGAATCCTGTCCCCATACTTGTCATCCTGTGACCCAAACAAGTTATCTGGTTTTCCTGAGTCTCATTTCTCTCATTTAATAAATGAAGATAACATTATAATATAATATTCAAATGAGATGAGAGCAAGTATCTAAATGTCTAAGATCATTGTCTGGCACAATGGTAGAGCTTTGGATACAAAGTTTACTGATAATAAGAGATACACTGGGACTTGAGATGATAAGCATCGTTGTTATATTCAGTCCTTCACAGTCCATAGGGTTACCGATCTTTTAAAATGAGTATAAAAATGAAACTTCTGGACAACCATTAAAGCTTGCCTGAAAGTGTATTATGAAGATCATATTGAATATATTAAGATCTTTATAATGGGGTAATACACAACTCAGGAATGTTTGTGTATGGGCTGGTTTTACCCTGCACAAATTACAGTGGTTCCTGAATAGCATGAGCCAGTTTCAGCTGTCCTCTTGGCCTAGTATTGGGACATGAAATGGGATTTTTGTAATTAAAAAAGAAAAAAAAGATGCTTAGGTGCAAGCTAGGCTGAAAGTCCAGAGGTATAAATCATAATCACTAATGTTTTTATTTTTAGTTTTAACTCCAAGTGCCACCTGTGCTAGCTACAGTTGTGAACACAGGGATGGTGAGATGCTTCTTGGTGGAGTTGTTACCTCTGAAGCAGATGCTGCTGGCTTCCTGGGTGATGCGTGAGTGTCACATCTGTCTCATGTCTTTTAGAAGACAATATAGCTTTAATATAGAGCTATATTATTATTTGATGTTAGGAATTATTATTATATTGGCTGTTATTATTAACTTTTATTAGTGCCTTCTCAAGAAAAAGCAAATTCATTGTAGGTGACTACTTTAGATATTTTTCTCTGGGAACTTCTTTAGTCTTAATCAGAAAACACCATAACAGTAAGTTTTTTAATAAATAAAATTTTGACTTAGGCCCCGGCTGGGTTGCGAGTTGCTCAGTTGGTTGGAGCATTGTTCCTGACACCAAAAGAGGTTGCAGCTTTGATCCCTGGTCAGGACGCTTACAGGAGGCAACCCATTGATCTTGCTCTCTCACATTGATGTGTCTTTCACCCACTCCCCCCGCCCTTACCTTCCTTCTTCTCTCTCTAAAAATTAATAGACATATCCTTGAGTGAGGATTAAAAATTTTTTTTTTGACTTAGGATATAGCAATGCTTGCACAGTCTCATTGGAAAATTTCGTATAACATTTCTAAAACAGCACATTGTGAATAAGATAAGTATGTTCTCGTTTCTAAACCCAGCAATGCATTGTGCTTACAAGAGGACCAATGTTATACACAAGTCACTAACTTCACATCTTTCATAGTATGGACTGTTTTGAGATCCTTTTCTATTTAAAGACCATTTCCACATGCCATTGCAGAGAGGAGCACCACCACAGAACTCTGAATGTCTTGAAGATCACATGAGTCTTATAGACGTATCTATAATCTATTTCCTCTCTGCTCCAAATGTTGGTACTTAAGCTCTTGGAAAATGTAGAGCACATTCTCCTCCTTTTCCTGTAAATTTTCATTTGCTAAAAGAATGTAAACATCTCAACATCCACAATTTTGCTATAGGACTCATGGAGTTGAGAGAATCTCCTCTGTGTCACCAGCACGTTTCAGGACTATAGTAAATGTTAAACAGCAGCAATAACTCCTTACCCTTGTTTCCCTACTGTTCATTTTGTTTAAAAATCTGTGTAGCAAAATTTTATGTCTTTAACTCATGAAGTCACTGTTCAAGAAATGTTGGCATGTGATGGGTCCAATGGAATTTCAGCAGTCGTTCATTCATCCAACACCTCTATATTAAGGAACTACCTACCATGGTCTAGGAACTTGAGATCCAGCAGTGAACAGAACAAAGTTCCACCCCTCTGAACCTTACATTTTAGCAGCCTGACAGTAAACCACAGAGGTAATAGATAAGTAGGGCATGCATCATTTTAGAAGATGGTTAAAGAACAGGTACAGCAAGGCAAAGGAAATGGGTGGAGCTGGGGGTCATGTTGCAATTTCAAATAGGGTAGTAAGGATTAAGTCTTATTGAGAAGGAGAAATTTGATCAAAGGCTTAAAGGAGGGAGAGGGACTTATGCATCATATATATACACACACACACACACACACACACACACACACACACACACACACACACACATTTTACATATGCCTGTGTCTCGGAGAAGAGCGTTCTAGGCAGAGGGACCAGACCTGGATGTCCAAAAATATCAAGGAGGCCATGGGACTGATGTGGAGTAGGAGGGAGACGATGCAAAGCAGTAGTTGATGAGATGAGATAAGAGAGAGTAATATCACTATAAGAATTTTGACCGTTACTCCAAGAGAATTAGAGAAACACTGCAGAGTTTTGAGTAAAGGGGATACTCATCTCTCTGGAACCTGTGTTAAGAACAGGGGTCAGGGGTAGAAGCAGGGAAACCAGTCAGGAGGTGGTTGCTGTGAGCCAGATAAGAGTGAATGGCAGCTCAAACCAGAGTGGGAAGTGGAGAGATGTATTTTAGATATTTCTGAAGCAGTACCAACACAATTTCCTGGTGGATTGAATGTTTTGCTGTTGGAAATGAGAGAGAAGTGAAGGATGAGTGTCAAGGAATTTGGCTTGCATCACTGAGAGGAAAGAGATGGCGTTAAATGACATGAGAGAGGCTATAGATGAAGCATGGTTTTCTTGGGTATTGGGGTAAGGGGAGGAAAAGGATCTGGAGTTTAATTTTGGACATGTTGAATTGGAGATTATCTACTAGAAACCTAAATGGAGATGCCAAGTCAGCAGTTGAACATAGGGGTCTTGCATTTGAGAGGCCTGCACTGGCGATCTACATGTGGAAGTTGCTAGTGTAGAGGTGGTACTTAAAGCAGTGAAGCTGGTTAAAGTCACTTACGAAATGTGTGTAAGGTTACAGACACTGGGCTGACTGTGGGCTACCCCAGCATTAAGGAGCAGGATGAGGAGAATTGGGAGGAAGAACTAGCCTAGGAGATGGGGAAATAGGGAATAGTAAGATAGGATGATAACCAAGGAGTGTGTGTCTTGGAAATCAAGTGAAAACAATCTATCAAGGTGGGTTGGTCATGCTGATTGTGCCAGTTGCTGCTGGCATATCAAGTAATTTGGGAGCTGAGAATTGGCTGGTGGATTTAATAACATGGAGGAGGAGTCACTGATGGGCTCAACAGGAGCAGATTTGGAGGAGCTATGGATTTTTCCTAATATTCTTCCTTTTCAGGGAAACACAAAGTTTAAATAAAACTGTGTTTGGAGCACTCATCAATCTTTATGGTTGACCCAGCAGCTTACACTGGAATACACATCAAAGGGACCAAACATGTAAGTGAACTCTATTTTTTAAAAATATGTATATTACATATATAATATATATACAACAGCTTTATTGAAATAGAATTTTATAAATTTTTAAAAAAGATTTTATTTATTTTTTAGAGAAGGGAAGAGAGGAAGAAAGAGGAGAGAAACATCAATGTGTGGTTATCTCTTGCATGCCCCCTGCTGGGCACTTGGCCCACAACTCAGGCATGTGTCCTGACTGGGAATTGAACTGGCGATCCTTTGGTTAGCAGGCTAGCGCTCAATCCTCTGGGCCACACTAGCCAGGGCTGAAATAGAATTTATATATCGTATAATTTACCCACTTAAAGTGTGTGCAATTCAGTGGTTTTCAGTCTGTTCACAGAGTTATGCAAACATCACAATCAATTTTAGAAGAAACCCCATGCCCATTAGCAGCCATTGTCCCCCAAATTCCCCAGCCCTAGGCATCAGCTAATCTACTTTCCCTTTTTACAGATTCGCCTATTCTGGATATTTCACATAGATAGAATCATATAATATGGTCTTTTGTGACTGGCTTCTTTCCCTTAGCCTAATGTTTCCAGGGTTCATCCATGTTCTAATGTATATCAGTACTTTATTTAATTTTTTAAAAGATTTTATTTATTTATTTTTAGAGAAAGGGGAAGGGAGGGATAGAGGGAGAGAAATGATGGTGTGTGAGAGAAACATCAATCGGTTGCCTCTTGCATGCGCCCAGCTGGGGACCTGGCCTGCAACCCACGCATGTGCCCTGACTGTAAATCCAACCAGCAACCTTTAGATTTAAGGGACAATGCCCAGCCCACTGAGACACACCAGTCCAGGAACTGTATGTATGTATGTATGTATGTATGTATGTATGTATGTAATGGCTGAATAATGTCCCACTGTATGGGGATACCACATTTTATTTATGTGTTGATCAGGTTAGTGGGTTGATGGACATTTGGGTTGTTTCTGCTTTTTAGCTATTACAAGTAATACTACTATGAACATTTATACACAAGTTTTTGTATGGACATATGTCTACCGTGGTATATACTTAGGAGTATAATTATATTTCTACCTTATTGCTAATATTACCAAATAGCCTATATTGTTATTGCCAGAATTTCAGGGCTAGAAGTAAAAAAAAGAGACAAAGTTGAAGAGTAGGGCCTAGAGCACATGTTATCTTCTGTTCTGTCCCAGCTTCCTGGAGCTATTTCAGCCATAGTTACTGTTGAATTACTGCAGTGCCAAAATGGATATTTTTCTTTGTTCAGTTTTGGAACACAAGACCAGAGTAATCTGCATCAAAGAATGTAGAGAGTGAGGGAGAGAATCCCTCTCCCTCCATACTTTTCCATTGGTTTATGGAAAAGTAAGGTTAGTTGAGAATGCAGGTCATTGTTTACTTTTAGCTGCATAAAAATCTGCAAGTAGATTTTTTAACAGCATCTCCAAGACAAAGATGCCAGGAAAGGTAGCCAAATACGTTGACTTTGAGAGATTAAAAAAAAAAGAAAGAAAAGACTTGTAATTGCCTATCAGTCCTTGGATTTAGTTCTGGGGAGCACCAATTTAAAATCTCAAATGTGTTTTTTTCAGTGGAATTATATTAATATGAAAGAGTTTATCAAATATGATCACGTGTGTGCATGTACATTTGTGTGTACGTGTGTGTGTGTGTGTGTGTGTGTGTGTGTGTATGTGTGGTTTTAAACATTTCCATAATGAGTTCCCAAGTGTTTTTTGGCCATGGTTATTAAAGCTTGTGTGTTTGCAATTTATTTGGCAAAATGCCTTTAGTGAAGAAAGGATATACTGTTCTCTTGGTCCTTTGCCCAAAGTAATTTTGGAGAAGTCTGTGACTGTGTTTAGTTCATGTCATTCATTGGAGACAAGTCATTGTAATTACATTTGATCACAATCAGTTTACAGTTGTTTTTATCATGTTTTAATGCTGAATATCTACTCAGACATCATAGCAAAACCTAATAGCTACTGTTTTATTTGTATATAAACTGTTTTATAGCTTTTTTTCTTTTTGCAGTACACATCAGGTTTCAATCATCATTGCTGCATTCATAGTAAGAGGAAAGCGATGGATAAAGAACTATCAAAAATCCTTAACTACATAAAATGTTTTCTTGGGTCACCTTGCTATAAAAGATATTGAATATATTTTGTGGCTTTCCCCCTGACATATTAACCATTGTAGAAGGGTTACAGTATTGGGAGGAAACCACATGATATGTGGAACTTATTCACCTAACATGGTTTACATTTGTGTTCGTTTTCTCTTGGAAATGGGTCTACCAGTCCTATACAATGTTT